AGATTTTGAGGAGATTTTGAAAATTGAAAATCTCATTCTGAAGCTTTGAGAAGGTTCTAGATGATTCTAATGAGTCCTATATAAGTGGTTGAGTGTGTTCAGCCATTTTTTTGGAAGAGATTGAAGCTTGAAGCAGAGAGTGAGGTTGAAATTTCATAGCTTCAAGTTGAAATCGTATTCTGAGTTCAAGGCCAATTCAAGAGAAATTGAAGATTGCATTAGCTTCGGAAGGAGTTTTGGAGTGTATCTGCATCATCTTGGAGGCTGAAGTGATCAAGAACCCCTTCTGTTACACCTCTGAACACAGGTTGGTACATTTCGTTTTTGTGCATAATCTAGGAGGAGATAGATAGAAATATATAGGTGGTTAGGATCCTGATGATGTATAAATGGATTTGAGATGATTAATTTGGGAATTAGAGACAAGTTAGGATGTGGATCATTTTCTGTTGAAGCTGAATTCTTGCAATTCTTGGACTGATAATCAAGATTAGATAGGGGAAATTGATCACCATGAGATAAGGATCATTTCTGTACATTTAATTGAAGTTCTGAGGAGATTCAAGATTTTGACAAGTTTTGGATTGGCTATCGGGTTTGAAAATCCATGGAGATTTAGATGATTCTAAGACTGGATTCATGATCAGCATAAAAAACTGGACAAGATGATGTATCATTTTGTAATTTTTGATGAACTGTGTGTTTGACCTCACCGGAGAAGACGGTGGCGCCACTGCTCAGGCCACCGTCTGAACTCTCCCTCCATCTGAATTCAAATTGGGGATGATGCACTGCAAGCGTTGGATCTTGCTGAAGACTTGACCAAGTCCATGGAATGAATGGCCACAATTGAGTTTGAAAGTCAGCCTTGGACTCCTTCATCAATAGGCACCGTTTCATTTAATTGGAAGCATTGGGCTTAAGGATCTGATTGATATCCACACCCCCATCTGGTCCAATCCACATATTGAACTGATTGCATTTGCTATTTGGCACGCCACTTTTATTAATTCTTTTGTTTTTCTTTTAATTTCTTCATTTCATGCTAGTTTGGAAATAATTCATGAAAAATAGAAAAATAGGTCAATTAATTCCAGGTTTTTCCCCCTGATTCATGATTGAATCTAGAATTTTATTGAATAAAAATATTAGGAAAATCATGCATTTTCAATTTTTGTGCATTTTTTACATTTTATTTGATAATAAAATTGTCATGGTTAATACCTCTGTTTGATGATTTTAGTGTGATCACTTGGTGATGATTTTTGGCTTGATTTTTTGTGTGTGATTAGCTTAGACATGTATGCTCCCATAGTATTTTTCTCACATTTTTGTGATGAAATTAGGTGGTGTTTTTAGGTTGAAACTTTAGGTGCTTCCTTTTAGGGTTTAAGTTTAGTACCTTGTAGTGTAGAATTTATATCTAGGTCTTATTTGAGGATTTGATCTCTAGAATTAACATGGTAGAGTCATGATTGACTTAGGTTCCCATAGTTATTTTTGTAGGATTTTATAATTGATTTTAGTATTTTAGTTAGGATTAACTTTAGTACTAGATTTTAGGTGATCCTAACTTGCTAACTCAACTAGAATGACTTCATTAGTTCCCTTAGACTAGGGTTTTGCTTCTCTTGCTCTTGGATGATGATGAAGGCTTGTGTGGGCTGCTGTGGAATGCATGATGGAGCTTGGAATTGAAGATTTCTCTCCCTTTGGTGTAGTTTGTTTAGGGTTAAGGATTAGGGTTTTAGGGAGATCTCTTAGAATAGATTTTCTTCCTTCATGAAACATGGAAGGTGTTGATCACTTCCATTCCTCCCTATGATGTAAGGTCCCATTGTGAAGGCCCCATCCCTCCTTTGGTAGGATGTGTGGCTCCTCACAAGTTGGTAGAACCTTTGAGGGTTCCTTTCCTTGATGGTGGAGTGCTTAGAGGTGACCTTTGGTCTCCACTTTGCTTCTCCCTATCCCCACCTTGCTCTTGTTAGATAAATCTTTCTCCCTTGCTAGAGGATGGAGTTCCTTGTTAGAGGATTGAAGATGCTAGAGGTTGCACTTCCCCTTTGTTTGAAGACTGCCCTTGGAGTTGAAGCTTGAAGATCAAGAAGAACAAGTTGACACTTGTGAAGAAGATCAAATTGAGATTGAAGAAAGAGTTGAAGCTTGAAGAAGATGAATAACAAGTTGACACTTGTGTCTGATGCATTGAAAGCTTGAAGAAGCAAGTTGAAACTTGCTATTGAAGAGGAAAAGCCATGAAGAACAATTTCAGACTGAGGATTGAGTTGCTGTCAGAAGATTGCTTTACTGAGAAGCTGGGGAAGCTGTTGATCTGCTTTCTTTCCTGTCTGTTTGCTTTCTGTGCAACTGTATTGATGTGACTTGTGTGATTTGCTTGATGCATTAGAATAAGTTCATGTTTATATGGTGTTAAGTTAGGATCATGATTTCACTAGAGGTTGAGTTGCTCCATCTGCTTGTATTTTTACTGTATGGCTTTGCTTGCGGGTATTCGGTAGAGTCCAGCTCCCTTGCCTATGTGGTTTGTGATTTGCTTGATGGCATTTTATTTCTTATGTATGATTGCAGTTATTCATATCTGGCTTGAGGTTGAGATGAGCTTGTGGAGGCTGATGCCCCACACACGTTTCCTCCCTCACTTGCATTGCATGCATTTTACAGTATATCTGTTTACTGTTTAAGCTGATGTTTTATCTGTTTATGTTTATCATTGACATGATCCCCTAGGAATCTCACTTCCTTTGATAAGGAAGTGGTGATTAGAACGTTAGGTTGAAACCTATGCATGATAACTTCTAGGAGTTCCTTGTTTCAAACTTCAACCATAGGACGAATCCTTGGCATGACAACATTAGGACTTGATAGTCTCCCCTTAGTTGAGCCTGTTCTCTCTTCTCATCTCAAACAACAGTAAAAAACGTAATAAAGGCAAGTTAGTATAAGCGCGTTACGAGCCTTAAGCTACTTGGGTAATGATAATTGAGCGGACTCCTCTCAATCGTCTAGAATGTTTAGTATACGTCCTTTGGACGATATGCGACGCATTCGTTCCCAAGTCATAGTCTCTAGTGTTGTACGAACTACAGACAAACATAAAAAATAGTTCTTCCGTAAAAGACAGAAAACAAACTTCAAACCTTTTTCCCTGTGGGCCCATAAGTCAAAGGAATCTTTTCTGAAGAAAAGAGTGTCGTTAACTCCCAGTTCTACCGCAAACGGTAATGCCTAAGTCTCCAAGGTTCGAGCTGCGTACACCAAACTGCTGGAACTGTTTGTTAACCCTACTCGAAAAAACAGATGAATCTGAATTCCCGTAATCCGTATTATCCCGAACTACGTAAGCTCTGATCTCTCATACCTGTTGAGAGTACGTAGGCACAATACTGACGTATTGGCGAGCCACCTTCCCCGTAACCCGTAGTTAGTCGAACTACGTTGACTCTGATTTCTCTTCTCTGATGAGAATACGTAGGCATAAAGTGCGACGCTTTGCCGAGTCATTTTCTTTTCTTTTTAAGCCAGCCTTGATAGGTAGATAGATAAAATAAACCCGTCAGATAAACACAACAAGCATGGATCCCATCGAGTACGATGGACGTGAGGGGTGCTAATACCTTCCCCTTGCGTAACCGACTCTCGAACCCAGACAATGGTTACGATGACCTTGTCTTATACCTTTTCGTCAAGTTTTTCCGATCGTTTCCTTTCCCGTTCCGAGGGATAAATAACGAAAGGTGGCGACTCTTCTGTTTTGTCGGCACCTTATTTTCGCGGTAGCGACACTCATCTCTAAGTTTCTTTACTGATCGAGCCAGTCGGTGTTGAGTTGAACGAGGTGCCCGAAACAGACCTAGCTCACTGACCGCTTCCGGTGTGAATCGGTTGGAACCACTTGTCCTGCCTGTATCTGGGAAGACTCAACATCAGCACCCTTGGTAGTCCTTCTCTGATCTTCTGCTCGATCAACAGCTCCCCTACAATAGTGTGGTCTCTGCCTCTGTATTTCACTACAAAAGAAGAAAAAATAAAAACAAAAAGAAATATTGGCCACTACCGAATATTTCAAAATTTTCGGTGTTTACATTGAATTGTATACCAGAAATTCCAAAATTTCCTGTACATGTCTCATACTTTATATCAGAGATTTCAATGTAAATAACGGAAATGTTGAAATTTCCGGTAACAAAACTCATTGTTTTTAAAATTTCTGGTAGTTGCACGAAATTTTCAGTATCGCTCCATTTCAAATTTGCACGGCTGAACTGTAAATTTTGAAATTTTAAAAAGAAATTGCAGGATCAGTATTGTCTTTTCATACACATTGGAGATGCCAGATGTAACAGGGTGTCAGGTTAAATCTTTGTTGCACTACCTTGGTTAGACAGTATGATATGGTAACTTCGCTCCGATAGCTAGAATTGGAAGAGTTGTGGTCTGTTTGTTTTGCCTTTTTTAAAAAATGATTTTTATAATATAACATATTTTAATGTAAAAAAAAACTTATAAAGAAACTTTTCATAAAAATTTTAAATAGAAGTTTGGTTTGAATAGTTATTTTATGTTTTTCATCATTTTATCGATTTTTTTTTTAATATCAAATTTTCAAAAAAATCACTTAATTTTGAAACTATTTCAAATAATTTTTCATAAAAATCATTTTTAAAATACAACTTTTTGAAAAAAACTGTAATTTTGACTATGTTTTGTTAATAATGTATGTTTATATTATAGTAAGTCAAAATTAGTCTCTTTTTTTTTAATAAAGCCTTTGTATAAATCAAAAGAAAGAGTATATACAAGGGTATAGAGGACCCCAACCACAAAACAACCAAAAAACCACAACTACTCTATAAGTAATTGAGTTATATGATGTCTCATTCTAGTATTCACCCACCCTCTATTCGCAAGGGTAGAAATGACTAAATCTCTAATATCTAAAACATTCATCGTATTTTCAAAGATGACATTCTAAGATACCTTCAAACTTCATGGATGGTTTCCGCTACAGCACTACGCAGAATGCACTTCCTCCAACCTTTACCTTTGCAATGCATGATTAACCACTCAAGTTCCTCATGCCATTCACACGGGAAACGTTGAAACCCCAAACACACCAGGATTTGTTGCCAACAGGTTTTAAACGGTGGACAATCAAATAAAAGGTGGTCAATTGTTCCCTCCTTGTCGCAGAAATTACACCTGTCATCGGTCGTAAGGCCAAGTCTTTTGAGCCGACCCCTTGTCGCAAGTCTACGGTGGCAAGTCACCCACATAGTAAAAAGGACTCTCGGTCTAGCAATAGTGTTGGATAACATGTGTTTCCATCCAACATCAGGATCATCCTTATTTAGGAACTTGTACACTTTTCCCACAGAGTATTTCTCCTTCATTTCGTTCCAATCTTCCATGCCAATAATGATGAATAGCTTGTAATTTATAAAAAAAAAAAAAAAAAAAACGAATTTAAAATAGCTTGTAAGATCTTAAAAATATTTTTGTAAAATTCATTTTCAAAAATATAAAAAAAAATAATCTATTTTTTTGAAGTTAAAAGAAACTGCCCTATTAATTTATTATAATATATATTTATTTACAACATTTTAAAATCGCGGTTAGAGCCACTATTCTTCGTTTTATAATATTCTCCATGTAAATATCCATCTAAATTGTTAGAGGCTGGCCACCTTCAAACATAGTTGTACACTATTTATTTATTTTTCTTTCTTTTGAAATGTTAACTAACACAAATATCACATCACATGTATTATAATGTTTTTTAGCAAATTTTAGACTCTCACTTTTTCAACTATTATAAATTTGATCAGCTAAAATTTTCTTAAGTATTCTTATATATAAATTCAACAAAAGAAATTATTTTATTTAAAATTTTAAATAAAATAAAATCTCAAATTTAATCTTTAAAGATTCCCGGAATTTTACTTAGTTCTAACTTTTAAGCTTAAAAAGTTATTTCATATGTCTATAAAAGATTAAAAAGAACACTAAAATAACATATTATTTATAAATCCCAGATATCTCTACAAAATATTTATAAAAAAATGTTAGATAGAAAGAAATTGATAGTAAGACTACATTTAATTAATTTTAAAAAGAACCCTAAAATAACTAAAAGGGCCAAAATTACAACAACTGCGCACATGGATAGAATTGAATCCAAAACCTTTAAATTAAAGGTGAAGATATTTCTGTTATCTTATCTTAGTACTCTTAGATCTTGTAAATAAAGACCAAGACAGTAATCTAAATGAGGTGAAAATATAGAAAAATACTACAATTTCCTGCTCTTTATTACTATAATTTAAAACATTTATTGCCCATTGTTGGAGTAGGAAACAGGTTCTCATATAATACAATAAATCATGAATCGATAATTATACACACATATATATATATGGGCAACCAGCTAGAGAGATACAATGTATAATTCCAACTTAAAAAAAGACAGCTGGATCATTTTTTGCAAAACCTAGTCCAATGGCACACACTAAAGTGCCAAGTTTTACTCTTTATTTAGCTACCGTTCTAGTGATTCTAGTCATTGTTCTTAGCATTTGGAAATCAGGATATTGGACCATCCTTCTTATCTTTGTTAGCAGGAGCTCCATTCCCATTCCGTTGGGCGGCAAATTCCTGTGACTCAGCCGAGTTAGGAGATGGACTAACTTCATCCTCAATTGGAAGGGTGCGTTTTGAGCCTTCAAGTGCAACCCCAAGAAGAATATTCTCGTCTAAGGGAGGCCTAACTGGTGATGATGACACAGAAGATTTGTCGTCATTAGCAGAAGAAGTGTCTTCCCTGCTAGACTCGGGGGAAGTAACAGAAGTTTCTGATACAGTACTTTGTGCAAGGTTTTTAGATACAGGAATTGTACTTCCCTTCCCTACATCTCCAGCACTCTCTTTTTTAGGCTGCATGGTTTTTGTGGTCTTCTCCATTGAACCTTCGGAACCCATGTTCTGGATTTGAGCATCAGAGGTTGACTTGGACCTATCCTTGGAGTTTACACCAGGTGGAGAGGATGAAGTTCCTGCAAAATTCTCATCACTTTTGGAGTCAGATGCCACTGGTTCCTCTATCTTAGCATCTTTTTCCTCATTGCCACGAGTTGATCGAGTTGACGGCTTAACTTTATCTTCACCGTTAACTTTATATGTGGGTTCTATTAGTAGGAATGGACGATTTACTGCTGCTCTGGATCGAGTAAAAATGCCATCGCCAAAGGGAATATTTTCTGAGGCAGGCTCACTGTATATTTTCTGAACTGTGCGGATGGGAGTGGCTAACCGAGCACGATGATGACTGACAACTCTGAGAAGATCCAAAAGGATTGCCTCCTGTTTTATAACACATGAATCATTTTAATTAAACCACTTTACAGAAACAGAATAATATGTACGTAAATTAAACAAAAAATGATTTTAAATGTAGAAATACACACCATAAACACTGAATTGATGACAATCATAATTTTACCTTAACACAGAGGTACTCCTCAAAATGTGAAGTCTTCACAAAGCAAGATATCAATATCTGCAATAGGAGGGACCATTAGTATAAGATATAGTAAATTGATACACAGCAAGTGAAACAACAACAACAATAAAGTTTTTCCTACTAGGCCGGGTCGACTACACGGATCAAACAATAATGTCTTCTCGTAAATTTTATCGAGAGACAAACCACAACAAACCACTCTACGGTCGTCTAAATGATTTGGCCTCTACTTTTCTAGGTATCCCTACACCAACTAGGGGCAACCATCTATTTGATATTGTTAGACCTCTTATACACATAAGAGGAAAGGGCAGATTTGATTATATTAGTTAATGGACATTACTCAGTTATGGGGAAGTTATATTATAGGAGTTATGGGGCAGTTACATCATAGTTATGGGACAGTTTTGGGAAGTGGGATAAAAGGAGAAGACTCTGGACAGGGGAGGCATTTTAGAAATTCAGAGTGGAATTTGGTAAGGGAAAAGTTCCAAGGCTCTCAAAATCCTTGGTACCTTGGTACCAAAATAGATTGATAATTGAGAAACCAATGTTTTTAGAGAGTTATCTCTCGAGGAAAACAGTCTCACAGATATACACTCAGATTGTATAAGAAAACAAAGCAACAGAAGAAAATGAAAGAAGTATGAAAACACGGTTCCGCCAAGGATTTTGAGAGCCTTGGAACTCTCCCTTACCAAATTCCACTCTGAATTTCCAAGATGCTCCCTGTTCAGAGTCTTCTCCTTATATCCCACTCCCCAAAACTCTTATAATGTAACTGCCCCATAACTCTTATAATGTAACTGCCCCATAACTCCTATAATGTACCTGCCACATAACTGAGTAATGTCCACTAACTAATATAATCAAATCTGCCCTTTCCTCTCATACACATTTAGTATAAGAGGTCTAACAGATATACTCTCTCCTTATTGCAGTTTTTACAAGTTTCCCCATGCATGACCAAATCACACAGCAAGATCATCTTTTTAAGAAAGCCTGTTTTCTTAAATGCTCTTTACCATCAACATTCGCCACATACACCATAGGTTTTATAGCTATGTGGCATATAGTTTTCCCCTTATGCCTTAGTCGTACTTACCCAAAGCACTCTCATTTGACTCACTTTGCTTGAATATTTATGATCTACATATCCTATATCCCCATCATTATGTAGAATAGCAGACACATACCTTTAGAGCTTGGTTTTCAGGATTGATGTCTTCCAAAAATACCCTTCTGTGCAATCTCTGCTGCTCCACTTGGGGGTTTTTAGCCAAAACCTTGCGCATATCTGCTACAATACTCTGCATGAAGAAAATGGAACGTAGATAACACCAGTTTTCACATTAAAAAATGATCATCAGAAACTTCTTGAACAGGTATTTAGAGCACAAGAACTAAAAATGCTCACGTTAATTTTGTTAACATCCAAATGACTGATAGAAATGTAACTCTTGATACGCCAATGAGATTTCTGAGTCAAATTTCTCACAACATTGACAGTGAACTTATGATTAGGAATATGAACTGCTTCACGATCATCACCTCTAATAATGGTCGGTGACCACCAGCCCACATGCTGCAGAAAAGATGAAATTTGAATACAACATCTCAGAAGTAATGCAAAGAAGGAAATCCATCAAGGGTAAAAGATCTTTTATTTGTTACATGATTGTGGGGTGCACCCATTAAAAAAAATATTATTATTGAACATACATTATACTCCTTATATGTAAAAGTTCCTTTAGGGTAGATACAGACCTCAACGGTGCCAGAAACCTCATATCCATCAATCTTTGTTTGAATCCACTCATTCAATACAAATGGCCGAGTTGCATGGATCATTATACTTGACAGGAAGTTCGTAAATATCTGGGTTAATCACAAGTATAATGTCAGAATGGCTGCAAACAAAAGTATTAAATAATTTATTTATTTTTCCGACAGTTCATTTTATTGATAATGGCTACAGGCTGTACACCTAAAAGACTTGCTCTTACAAAATTATGGTAATGCACAAAATGCAATGAATATGGGGGCTTAAACAAATTCAACTAGTATATAGCAGACAGTACAAAAGAAACAATGGTGTACCTCCCGGCCAGCAAGAGTGAGCAATACTGTGCCCAACCCACCAGCAGTTAACCACTTCTGTGTGGAGAAACCTAGCAATTCCATGAACAATGACACAGCAGCAACCCATACAGCAGTGTATATTGCCTTCCCAGCAAAATCAAGGCCCATCTGTCAAGTCAATTTTTCTTAAATGAGTACCGGTAAACAGAAAACGAAGATTTGATATAAACATTAAATCCATATATGAAAAACAAATGTAAATAATATATCACCGGTCAAATTATTATTCCTAGATGTTCATTATAATCCTAATACTAATTTCTAATGATATTACTAAAAAAACAGAATAAAAATCCAAATACTCATTCGAACATAAAAAGTGTTCAGTACTTCGGCAGAAAAACACTTCTGACACAACAAGTGAAAAATGACAATAACTGACAAAGCAGTAAAAGAAAGTGAAAAACATACATTTCTTGCATCACTGGATTCATTTGCATCCAAAAATAATTTTTGAGCTTGTTGAATTAAGCTGAAAACAAGAAATAAACCATATATAACATTATAATGTAAATGTAGTCAGGACCTAATACACATTTCATACTGAAATAGAGCAGCAAGGAGTTAAAAAGAATAAAGCAGTATCTCTTCATGACTGATACAAAGCAGAAATCATAACTACTATTCCCACTGTCCATATTCTTTGGTTATTTTCGGAAACAAGACGCAACAAAACATGTTTTCCATCTTGAGTAGACTATAAATTTAATATCAAACTGATTAGGGACGGAGGGAGTAACAAATAGCAATGCAAACTGATAACAGCATTGAAAGGAGGGGAGCTTTCCTATATCTTAGATTCGTAGTTTAAGATAATGGTAAGTAAAATCAGTACAGAAAACCATTCATAAAAAAACATTTCCTGTTCTGCTGGTCAGGATTCTTCCAGAAACACAATACCTTGATAAACAATGCGCAAATGAAATCACTGTTGACAAAGATCTCACAAAATTAAGCAGTCGTTGTTTCACAACCTGGCTATTCGGAGATGGCAGGACAATTGGATCTAATGCCCTGAAACAAATAACGCTATGATCAACACCGTCAGGTATTTAGGGGGGGGGGGGGGGGGGGGGGGGGGGTGTTTACTTACTGAGCCAAAAACAAACCTGCATATGAGCATTGCCCCAGTCCACAACAATAATGGCTGAAAATATGATGTCATAACATATCGCGAACTACTTTTCTTCCAATTACTGTCAGTCCGCTGAAAAAAATATTTAAAATCAGATGAAGAAAAAAGGTGCTAATATAGTATTCAATAAGGCTTTGGGAGAAATGAAGAAACAAAAATGAATTGGTAATTTGGTGATTACTTGAAGAAATAGAATCCTGCTGAGACGAAGGAGTGGCTCTATACCATAAACAGCAAAGGCAATAATACCAAGGGCTGGGATCAATCGAAGCAAAACAGGGCTTCCCAGTAAAGAATCATATGACCTGCATAAACATCTAAAAATAAATTTCCCGTAGGTTATGCATTGAATAATAGGTTAAAATAGGAAGAAAAGCAATAAGAAATAATCCAAATTTAACACCAAATGATACCAGTTATCCCCCTTCAGAGATAACACAAAGATACAAATTAAATGTATCGCATTACCGTCTTGCAAATTACTTTTACAAGTTAATATTTTAATTAACATATGTCTTGGTGGCTCTAGTCAATGCCAATCAATATTTCACTCCTCAGAGAAAAAGGAAACAAGTCGTGCGCAGACTTAAGTTGATTGAAACTATATGTCAACATGGCAATAAATAGGTAACAAAATCTGGACAGGGGTTGGTGGAGAGTAACCATGCAGCTTAGTTTAACACTAGTCAACTGACTTGCAGGTGGTTTAAAGACAATCAAAACTGATCGACCATAATATATTTTGGGGAGTCTCGGGGAGCAAGATAACAACAAATAATAACCATGACAGCCAAGAGATTTTGAAATCGCATCTTCACCCAAAACGTTAATGCATTGAGTATATTCGTCATCTCTCTTATATATCTTCATTTAGCCAACTTTTATCCGAAGCGAGACTAACAACTCACACTTGAATTACAACAATCTCTTTCTCAAGCATGAGTGTCCCAGTCCCACATCACTATGTGGAGCCAAGGTCTCTTAAGTGGAGATGTGGTGTCTTGGTCTCTTATATACTGGGCCTTCAAAAACTCCCAACACAAATAATTATTTATATACTACCAAACCCTAACTACAAGCTGATTATAGTAAAATCATTACCATGAACTCAGAAGAAATACATAAACTATTAATGACATAAGCATGATAGTATATACACAACATTATGAGAAAGATTGCAAATTTAAGATTTATTACATATATAAGTCAAAGGTGCACCTCATACAAACTGGAAAAACATCAAACGTGTAAAGTCAAAGAAATATATTGTCGACAGATTTAAGTTACTCAAAAATATATGTCAAGAAGCTAATGAACAAATACCAAAAACCGGACATGGGCAGGAGAGGAGAGCAATCATGCTACTTCAGTTTGACACTATGTGACTGCTGGTGGTTTAAAGACGAGACAAACTGAATTGAGAAGTATATCATATAAAATCGCACTAGCCTACCGTGCTATAATAAGTATATCATATAATATGAGAAATACTGCAAACTTAAATTTTATAGCGAAAAAAATCAAAGGTGCGCGTCCTAACAGGCACAATTTCATAGTGAAAAAAAACAAGAATCACAAAACCATATAAAATCGCACTAGCCTACCATGCTATAATAAGTATCTCATATAATATGAGAAATACTGCAAACTTAAATTATATAGCGAAAAATATCAAAGGTGCGCATCCTAACAGGCACAATTTCATAGTGAAAAAAAACAAGAATCACAAAACCATATACAAACATACACACTAAGTTGTGGAAACAGTTCTCAATTAAAATGAAAAAGTGAGAGTTGCACCTTGTTAAGAAAACGCTAGCAGATTTCACGAGGGCAGTCCCACTCCCTCCACCTGGTAGCATGGCAGACCGACATACAAAAACACTGCACCTGGAAGGAGTCTGCCTTATTGGCGCATGTACTCCACTTGAAAAATGGAGTCCCAAAGAATCTCGTTTCTGTAGATTCCAAATCAAAGTTTTCCGTTGAGTCAGACTTCACACTGAGTAAACACAAACAACATTGACCCAACTCCAGCAAATAACCTAAACACCTTCAAATCTAATTGACAAAAAAATAAGATGCATAATTGTTTCAATACACACAGAATCCATACCAAAGTTCGCGGTAAAAGATTCATGGTAACCAAATGTAATCGATGAACCCGCGCCAGATTCTGTCAATCGAAACGTAAATGAAACTCAACATTCTGAATTCATAACTCATAAATTATACAAAACCCGGAAAAAAAAAATCAAAATCAAAACAAACACTTACATGATGCTGGAAACTACCAGGTCCATTATTATTAGTTTTGAGCCTAACATCACAAGAAAATTGCATTGAACATGGATACACCATTGTCGAAATTGAAGAGTTGAAGCACAAGTTCATGCAATCACAATCACTTCACCCTTACAACTCAATGCCACAGTTTCTTAACAGAATTACAAAAGAAAAAAAAAACGGAAAATAAAACCTGCAAAAAAATTAAAAAATTATTAAACAAAACCCTAAAAATTTGGGCGGAGAAACATGTGAAATTTTCGAAATTAAAAAAATTTATAAATATAATTAAAAGAAAAATAAGATCTAAAGTAGAACCTGAAGTGTATTGATGAAATTAATGGATAAGGTGAAGAATTTGAGTGGAAAGAAATGAATAGAGGGTGTTGTTGTTGTTCTGGTTTTGTTCTTGGTTGGGAAGGATGAAGACTAACATTACGAGTTTACCCTTGGAAGAAAAGAGAAAGGAGTGAAGAAAAACGAAAGAAGATTTTGGATTTTGGGTAAATTAGTTTCTTGTACGTAATAAACGCAGTGTTTTACGTATTGTGCTAGATTTTTTTATCGTTGGATTCATTCGGTTTATGTGGCGCATGGAAGGTGACTAACTGCCATAAATCCTAATCCAATCCTTACTCAAATTAAGAAGACTTACGCCGCATGCTTGTCTGCCTAAACTTATGTTAAAATAAAGTTATGGATTTTTTTTTTACTTTCTCCCACCATAAAACCAAGCACACACTTATAGTGTGTCAATTGGCGATGAATTTGAAAAAATTATACTTATATTGTTGGGTGTTTATTAATTTAAATAAATCATAATTAAATTAAAATACAAACCAAATTATAAAAAGATAGAAATTTTTTTTTTTAGCTTGTGCAAAAAATCTAATTGATCCAATAGAACATATTGTTAATTGATTTGGATAACGAATTTTTAAAATTCTACGTGTAAAATCTAGTTTTCAAAAGTGAGAGATTGAGTTTGAATTGTAATGAAAGAGGTGTGTTTTTAAAATTTGAAACTTTAAGTAGTTATGCATGCATCATATGAGTATAATATCATGAATCAATGATTTGGTTGGTAGATGAAAATTATAATTCGTTGAAATCAAATTTTAAGTGAAAAAGTGTCACTGCTTTAGTGGCAACCGGTTAACACATAATCTTAATTAGTTACAGTTGAATAGTTTTATGAAAATTTGAATTTTTCAAAGGTGTAACCGGTTATAAATTTTGGTTAACATGGTAATATTACCTTCCACGCGTAATCTCCGACGAAAAGACATTTGATTTGACCTTCTTATTATAAGCTTTAGATATGAGCTCTTTTTTTTATAATTAGAACGTCTAACACGATTAACCTTTCTTCATCTAAGTCGACCAACTCGCCCATCATTATACTTCAATAATGATTTGCATGGATTTCTTCTTGCCTTTGAATTATCACTTATTGCAAGTGCATTTCTACAAGAAACATTGTGTCATGCACAGAAGTTAATTGAAAAGGTATAGTGTGAGTTACCTCTTTAGGGGACGTTCGACAAGCCCATAGTGTTTGGTCTAGTGTCTTATGTCAATTTTTTTATTTTTGGCCCACATGTTTTTTAATCAGGCTAACTAAGACCTTATTTGCAGCCTCGACTTGACCATTTGCTTTAGCATAATAAGGGGTGGAGGTCAACAACTTGATTTCTGATCTTGAGGTGAACTCAACCATCTCTCGTCCAGTAAACATTGATCTATGGTTATGGTCTCAGAGATCTCGAACCTAGAGATTATGTGACTTTGGATGAAGTTAATCACAACGTCTTGGTTGACACTTACCAAATATACCGCATTGCTTCGACCCACTTGGTGAAATAGTCGATGCCTATTGTTGCACCCTAAAATTTGACCAACTATTTCTCGTATTTTGGCTTATGTTTCAACTCATTTCATTTTGCATTCGCATACCACTTTCATTGCATTTTTTTTAATCAGATTGACTTTATCAGGATTACAGCCTTTTCCGGGCGTTTCAGGCATTTCAGGCCAGTTCGAATACGAGGATTTATTTTGGGAGTAGTGCTTTTCCCGGTGTTTTCAGCTTTTGCTGTTGTTTTTTAGGATATTTCGGTGTCCGTATTTTTACCGGTTATCTCGTTGCGTTCTCGCAGTTTGGCTCGCCGATTTAATTGTTGTTTTTGTTCCTTATGGAATTATTGGCTTTTTCCCGAGGTTTATTTTGTTAATGAGTTAGCTTAGAAATTATTTCAGATTTTAAATGATTTTTAGCTTTAGAAATAGATTTTTCAAATAGACTAATTGTTTTTCTAGATTTTAAATAGATTAATGGCTTTCTAGAATATTTTTAGATATTATTAGATATTAATAGTTTTTCTATTTTTTTTATAGATTTTAATTTATTTTAGATTAATTGAATTGTTTTAGAAATTAATAGAAATTTTCTAGATTTTAATTTCTTTTCTAGATATTAATCTTTTTTGTTTAGAAATTGATAGATTTTATTCATCTTTTTAGAATAATTGATTTTGTTTTAGAAATTTATAGATTTAATTCCATTTATAGATGTTAATTGATTTGTTTAGATATAATAGATTTAATTTATTTCCTAGATATTAATTGAGTTTTAGAATTTAATAGACTAGTTTAACTCTTTTTTAGAATTTAATAGATTTAATTTCTTTTTAGATATTATTAGATATTAATTTGGATTTTAATCATGTTAATTGGCTTTAATTAGTTTAGTCTCCATTTTAATAAGGTCTTTAGTCATTAACCAATTATAATTAGTATTAATTAGTAGTTTTTTAGTTAAAAGGTATTAATTTTCGTTTAGTATTAATTGAGTATTAATCTAGTCCTTAATCCAGTTTTAATTGCAATTTATTTGTAATCAGGGTTTAGCCATTTCGTGGGCCACTTGTCTAGTATTTGGAGGCCCAGTCCAACTTCCAGGACACTTGACAGTATAAAAGACTATCCACGCGTTCTCTCTCACTTCCACGCGTACACCGCCTGGTCCCACTCACTCTGCCACGTTTCACTCTCCCTCTCCCACAGCATGCCACACGTCCCAGTCTCTCTTCTCGCCGCCGGCCATGCAAACGGCCGGAGTTCCCACCGGAGAAATCAAACTCGGCCAGAATCCACCGTAACCATTCGCCGGTAACTGCTAACCGTCGCCGGAAACTGTAATTTCCCACCGTATTCATTCATCATCTTCATCCAACTCCTCGGCGGAAACTTCATCATGAATCTCCCAGATTCATCAACCGTTTATCACAAACCTTCCATTGTTCAACAATGTTTTCCAGAATTCTCACCAACTTGCATCGTTCTGCATCTTCGTTAACATTCATCAAGATCCTCCGAAGATCTTCAAACAACCTTCTGGTTTCGTTCTTCCAGATATCTACTACCTTCAAGAAATTCCCAGCAACCTTCAACGAAACTCCTTCATATGCATTCAACCTCAACAGTTCCAGAAGATCCTCAAGCTTCATCACGCAGCGAAACCTCTCCAGATCAACAAGCCTTCAGATCGCGTCATACTCATCTAGATCTTCAAAGATCTTCGCCCAGATTTCCAACAAGAAATTCCATACTCATCAATATCAGTTCAAGACCTTCAAGCAATTCATCTTCTGTCTTCCATTAACCATGTCCGGATCTAAGATCTTCATGAAACCACGGATAAGATCTCTGATCTGTTGTTTCAATAACCTTCACAAATCTGTCATCAAACGCTCATCGAGGTGTTCATCCATGGCCATCGTCGTTTCCAAACAACTCTTCAAGAGGTAAAGGGGATGTTTAAAGGAAGGCGAAGAAGGAGTTGTGAGAGAGTGTGGCTGAGGTTTGATGGAAAGGGAGCGGAGAAGATGAACACAGAAGATCGAAGAAGGGAGAGACGAGGGTAGAGGGTGAAACCAGCGGCGGCGAGAGTGGAGAAGAGGTAGTCTAGGGTTTCTGGCCAGGAAGGATGAGGAAGACGAAGGGCTGAGTGGGGTTCTTGGGCATTTTGACCAACCGGTTCCCATATCTGGTTTATGTTTCGACGCATTTTGCATTCGCATTCGCATACTGCATGCATTGCAATTTTCTCAGTCAGATTGATTTTATCGGGATTGCAGCCCCTGGCGTTTCAGGCAGTTCAGGCCGGTTTGAATAAGTGTATTTTGAGAATTGGTGCTCGTTCCCTGTTGTTTTCAGGCCATCTCGGTGTCCGGGTTTCGCTATGGTTGCACAATCGTTCTCTAATCGATTTAATCGGCTTCCTGGCATTTCTAGGATTTTTTTCTTTTATTTTTTTTTTAGATTTTTAATGCATTTAATAGTCTTTTTAATAGATTTACTGATTTTAGATATTAAATAGGTTAATATTTTTTTAGTAGGATTTAATAGATTTTTTTAATATAAGTAAATAGTTTTTAGATTTTTTTAATAGATTCTTTTTTTTTAAATAGAATTTAATAGATTTTTAGTCTTTTAGATATTAGTTTTTTTTTATCATTAAATAGAGTAGTTTAATATAGATTTTAATATAGATTTTAGATTTTTTTTTTATATAATAGTTTTTTGATATAGTTTAAAAATGGGGAATATAATAATGTTAGATTAGATTTTTAATTGGTTTAATAGATTTAATATAGAATTTAATAGGTTTTTTTTTATTTTATTAGATTTTTTAATTGATTTTATAGGTTTAATTGGAATTTTAATTAGATAAATAGATATTAAATGCTTTTTTCTGTTTTAAATAGGTTAATTAGGGTTTTTTAATTAATTTTCGTTTAGTTAATTAGGGTTTTTTAATTAATTTTCGTTTAGTTAATTAGGGTTTAATTAGGGTAGGTCATTAGCATTTAATTGATGCATTAGTCAGTCATTATCCATTAATGGGCCATTTATCCGGTCAAGCCCAGTCAGAAGGTCCAAAATTCTGCCACTTGTCATTTAAATAGCGTGTCACGCGTGGGTCCATGCTTTCAGCCACATCACAGAATTTCGCCAACACTAACTCCACTACCCTCTCTCTGATCCACGTGTCCTCCCCTCTCTCCCTCTCAGTGCCACACATCCTCCTCAGAACCCACCACCAC